GCACCCCACTCCCTAGTCGCTACCTCTTCCCCCCACTCCCCAAAATTTCTGCCTCTTCCTCTCTGCTCCCTACAGTCTCTGCCTCTTTCCTTCTCCCATTCTTCCCCCTGCTGTCAGATGCTGCTCGAACTCTGCTCCCCCACAGTGCACAGCACATGGAAGAGCAGCCCCTGCCGGGCCACGCAGTAGTGTCAGCGCTGCTGATTGTCCATGCAGGGGAAAGAGTTTCCATGTGCTCCGTACCCGGGACAGAATTCAGCCCAACCCAGAGCCGAGCTGCGCCTGGAAGCTGCGGAGGGCAAGCACAGAATAGAACAGGCAGGTCTGACTCTTGCCCCAACTTGGCCTTAGGGTCAGTCAGAGCTGCAGCAGCTACCTGCCCCGCCACAACTCCCCACCCCAATATGCACGCAAATCTAAGGTAAGGGACTTTTTTCCCATGCTGATTGGGGAAAATACCTAATTTTAGATTCAAATAAATACAGTACATGTTTATCTGTATAATATCATAAATGAAATAAGTGTTTTATCCTTTAACTTTTTCAGGGGGAAAAATGTTTAAATCCTTCCTTTTAAAATTGTTCCCCCACCCTGTAACATCTCAGACACCACATGCATTTAAAACGAAAGACATTCCTTGGTAGCCAGACAATACTAAATCAGTTTGGTAGAAGTTAGGCAGCAGACCAAGGAAACAGGTGAAGTGTTGGGGGAATTATGGATGTGCACTTTTGCTAGAACCTCTATGGTAGTGCTGTTCAACTTAAAAGCAGCTGGGGGCTGAATGCCCCATGGGCTGAACCAGCAGAAGCCAGTGTCTGTGGGCCACTCCAGGGTGAGCCATAGGCCCCCTCTGTTGCACACTACATGGATGCCCCCCTTCTTATACTACAGGGGTGCTCCTCTCTGTACCACAGCCCTGCATTATTCACCCACACTCCCACGTTCACTGCTGCACCATTCACCTGAGCCTCCCAACATTGCTGTACTGCATGCCTGTGCAGGCACCCCTGTATTGTTGCACTGTGCACTTCCCTCATCATTCATGTCCCTCCCTAACCCTCAGCTCCCCTGGTCATGCTGCACTGTGCCACCTGCCTTCTGGGCCAGGGACAGGCAGTGAAAGGCAGAGAAGGAAGAGGGAGCCCAAAGACTCTGGCTGCTGTTGCAGAAGCCTAGGAGGCTGCAGCTTAACCCTGTGGGCTGCCTGTTGGACAGGGCTGCTCTACAGGATGTAAACAACAGAAAATCTGGGTAGGAGTACATGGAGGTGACATACTGGGTTGCCTTGGGATTACGGAGGGCAGGAACAACAACCCTTAAAGAACAACCCTGGCATACAGCAGTAATACTTGCAACCTTTCTTCAAGGACTTGTGCCTCAGCAGAGAGACACTTGATTACTCTGACATGGTTGCCTTGGATTCAGGAATCATCAAGGCAGGAGAACGTAAATTAAGGAGGAGAGGAACTCCACAGGGAGGTATCAATCCACCAAAAATTAACAGGGCAGCACTGTTCTAGGCTCCTGGTCTGCAAGAGCATCCATGTGAGCAGGCCCCATTCACTGTAAGACCATGACCCTTTTTATTATGCATCAGTTCCTGGTTCCTTTAAATGTAATGTTTAAAAGTTCTTCTGAATAGGATTTGACCTCAAGAGACTGGGTCAAACTCCCCCCTATCAGTGTATTGGCATCAGTGTCAAACCATGCATATGCAGCTTCTCAAGAAATTCTGGGGCTGCCACCAAGAAATAAGCACCTACCCTGCCTGCATCAGTGCTGTGAATTAGATAATGTATGCTGATCAGAGCAGCCCTTGGCACATGCCTCAGTGCCATGATTAGGCTCTCCATTTGTAGGGTCATTTCTGTGAATAGAGAACTCTATTGTAGTGCTGGGGCATGTACTCAGGCTGTCTGTGCTGCCTACATTGTGGGCTTGGACTCGTGCGAAGCAGGCACAAGCAGTGAGGGGCTTGTTGATTAGTGGCACTTTCAGGCTCATTCCAGAGTCCATAGAGACAAGAGCTGAACAGCAAAATTTGGCCCAGGATGACAACAAATATGTAGGTCTAAGTGTATTACTGAAAAACAGAATTAAACTCTAAAATGTTACAAAATAGCTATTCTCTAAAAATATGTGCCATAAACAAAACCATTGTTTTGCGGTTTAAAACCACAACCATTATGTTGTGTGGTATAAAACTTTTATTGGCTCTTATTGGGGATGATCTGCATAACTCATTCGTGCCTTCACCACTCTTGAGTAATATAGTCATCCCCAATTCATGCCAGTATAAATTTAATACCACACAGTCCCATATTTCTTTCCCAACCATTACAGTTATTATTGGTGCTAAAAACTTAATTTTGTAACCCTTTTTCTTGTATTATTCAAAGTACTGAAATGCTACCAATAGGAATGTATTTTTCTTTCTTTATGGTGTCAATTGTTAATGTGTATCTGAAACATTCATTAAAGAAATCAGTTCAAAGGTTTTTATAAATCTGGCATAGCCAGTTGTTATGGAACCCATAGATTAATAAACAGCAACATTTGAAATCTAGAAATACAAGAAAAATATGAATAACGTGATTCATTTTAAACAAATTAGTCTGTTCCTTTTAAACAGATATATTTCACAACATAGCCTTAATTGTGGGTAGGCTTTCCAGTGACAGCTTTTTTCTTAAGGTTTGTGCAGTGCCATAAAAAGATCAACCTGTGAAAAGAACTCTTGATTATTTTATACTTGTCCTCAGAATAAATTAGTGAATAGTATGTGCTTTATCTCTTAATAAGCATAATTTTAAATGGCCAAATAATGTGTCATGAGTCCATTTTGAATATATGCAAAATAACCTATTTTTCTTTATTCATGTAGAAATTGTCTTCTGAGAGGCCAAGTTCAGATGGGGAGGGTGCTATAGAAAATGGAATCACTGCTGTGTGTAATGGAAAAGAACAAGGTGAATCTTTGATGAAGAGCATTTTCCAGTGTTTGTTAAATAATTAATAAAAACATTGTTTCTTTTATGGTTTAGGGCACAGGCATGCGATGTACAGCCTATGGAACAGCAGCATCTGGCCTTTGGGGCTTCTGAACAGAGTGGGAATTTGAGGGCAGAACCTGACACTAGCATCTGGAGGACAGAGCTCTACTGGGGACATGTTTCAACCTCCGCTGAAACATGTCTGTGTTAACCCTTGCAGCTCCCTGATGCTGCTTGCTCTACCACCAGAAATGAGTCCAGATCTGGCCTGCAAGGAGCCACACAGTCCAGATCCGGCCTGCATGGCCAAGTGAATTTGATGCCTCTGATTGAGGCAATAGGTAGAAACGTTTTTAAATACCACTGTTAGTGTTTATCTTTATCTTAAGTACTTATCTTGAAATTCAAACTATGCCAAGTCTAAGTTACTAAATATTTCACGCTTGTGGAATTCAGGGTATATCCATTCTATTTCAGAGTCTCCCTCTGCATAAAAGTGATGTAACTGATAGCAGAATCAGATCCAGTATCTAAACTGGATTTTTGCCTGTATTTGTAAAACACAGACTTCGTTATGGGGACATTTAGCCAACTATGCGTAGGGTTTTCCCCTAGGTGCATATATAATTTTAAACAGGAAAAGTGTCATAGAATTTTACAAGGAAAGACAAGAATCATATATGCTAAATTACTTTAAAATGATGTGCTCCACGTTAGAGCCATAAAGTTTATTCCCAGTTCTTATATTCCAAACAGAGGGACTTTCCAAATCTAATGGCAATTTTGCCTGACCTAAATCTACAAAATCAATCCCCAGCTGATCCCTTTTCTGGTTAAAGAAAACAATTCTGTACATTTGTTAGATCAAACTAGTTAAATAGTCAGCTTGAGGTATATAGATATTTTTGTTCAAATGACCAAAATTAACTTAATCAACACTGCTTTGCAGCTGGCAAAATAAAAAGGTGATGTAAGCTGCATTGGAACACAATTTTATCAACATTGGTTTTTGGGCAAGTACTGCATCTTTTTTTCTTGACTCAAGTGGACTTCCTTTTATTATGGGTGATTTAGTTTATGATCTTTGACATCTTCCTACTTCCCTCTACCAGCAGATTCTATGTCGGTCTCTCAGACATAAAGATCTTCATACCACAATCAAGAGTGCAGAGAGAAGTAGTTAACTATGGCTGTGGTCAGTCTGTTCTAAAAGGAGAAGGATTTGCCAATCAGGAGCATGCTTCAGCGGGACCAATAAAGGGGTTTACTAGAGGTGCAATGATATATCAGTTGCCTATTGGATAGGTACCAATAAAAGGGGAAGTGACATTATTGGCTATTGGCATTTTTTGGCCATTGTAGCCCCTAATGTTTACCAATAACTAAGCCTTCTGAGCTAGTGCCCTTTACACCTGGGTTCCCTCTCCCCTTTGGGGCCGGGGTTCACAAATGCCTAGGTTCCCTTGGGAAATGGTGGGTTTCTCCTTGCAGGCAGGCAGGGGAAGGGGTGTGGGTGAGGGAAGGGGCTGGGGGGTGCAGATTGAGGCCCCCACAGTGAGGGAGGGAGTGGGGCAGGGGTTCGGGCTGGGGGCAGTGCCCAGCCAGGGCAGTGCATGGGACCCAGGGCCAGAGTGGGGAGTGGGACAGAGCCATGAGCAGCTCGTCGATGGGACGGTGTGGCTCCCCACCACTATGTGGACCCTCCAGGGGAGGCATGGAGGGGCATGTGTCCCCCCTCATATTTGTGTGTGGGGTGGATGCGGGCTGCCTGCTGTGGGCTTGGGGCTCTCTACTCTGCTGCCTTTCCCTCAGGAGCCCCATGACAGCTGCATGCCCCTGCCTGCCTGGCAGCAGTGGGGGCAGTGAGTTGTGCAGCTGGGCAGGCAGGGAGCACATGGCTGACGTAGGGCTCCTGGGGCAAAGGCAGCAGAATTCAGAGCCCCAAACCCACAGCAGGCAGCCCGCATCTGCCCTCACCACACTCGGCTCTGCTCCACTTAAAAGCGTCCCCGTGCTTAAAAATGGTGGTGGCAGCACTAGAACTAAAGCTCATTCAACGAGTTATAGTTCAAACACCATTTTTAAGTGCTGGGATGCTGATACACGTGATGCAAGAGGCTGCTGGAATATGCCAAAAAAAAAAAGAGGTTTTTTATGTCAGTTAAATTTGGTTAAAAACCAGCTATTGGTATCGGTGCACCCCTAGAAAATCTTTATCAGTACACACCTATGATTAACTTACTTTTCCCCCCAAATCAGCCCTTTAAAATAGGGATGCATTTCTTAAGCAGAGAAAGTAATTTTTCTTCTCTGAACGGGTTAACACTGTATGCTGCTACTCCTGTTTGCTGTCTGCAAGAGAAGCTGGCAGCCATCTGGCAACATAGCCTCTCCATGAAGAAGCCAACTGTAGGCAGTGACCCTGGAAAGATCTTTGTTTTTTTCTGTATTCCAAAAAAAAAAGTGTGCTTGTTATTTGGAGGTATATGGTATGCGAGAAGGTATGATAGTTGCATTACTTTAGGTTCCTTTTGTACTAGGATAGGAGTGGACAGATAAATTGGTTTTGGTAAGCTGTTACAGTTTACAACTTGGGTAACGGTTTCATCAGTTTACACACTCTGATTCCTAGAAACCAAATGATGTGATGGGCTTTCACAGACACTTTCACAAAATGACAGGAAGCATGAATTATGGAAATACTGTAGCCATTCAAGACTATTGCAGCCATCGTGGTCTAATTGACCAGAATGAATGAACAGTGATTTTGAATGCCTGAGTTGAGGCACTTCAAAGACCCTTGATTTTTCAGAAGCTGATAAGCATGCCAGCTCTGAAAATCAAGACCCTTTAATGCTCCTAAATCAAGTAATTACTAGTTACTGTTGAAATCTTAGCCTTTATTTCTGTCACAGGAGACTAATGCAAATGGTGACATTTAGTTCAAAATAACATTTCTGGGACCACTGAAAAATTTTAAGGGGTACTAGACGAATTATGCCATTTTTTTGTATTCAGTTTTAAACAACAAGAGCTGGGAAAATTGGAAAGCTCATTTGGCTACATGAGAAAAAACTAAATTCACTGGGCACCAGTTTCAAGTCCTGCCCAACAGAGTCACTGCCTACTTTACTCCAGGGGCAGGCAAAGTGCAGCCTGTGGGCTGGATCAAGCTGTCGGTGGACTCCGTTTCCCAGCAGCCCCTGCCCACGTTGTTGTGGCCAGTTTCCATGGCTACCCATCAGTGGCAGGGACATGACAGTGGTGGGGGGGGCAGGGTTTCCATGGAGACCGGCTCCAGCAGTGCTGGCAAGGCATGCAGCTGGGCAGGGAACTGCTTCAGGATCTGGGGAGGGGATCTTGTGGCAGTGACAGTGTGATCCCAACCTGGAGCAGAGCTCCTGCCTGGGACATGTGGGTAGGAGATCACAATTCTGCCCTGGCTCCTAACCAGGCTGTCACCACTACAAGATCCCAGCCCTGGCCCCGGAGCAGTTCCCTGCCCACCCACTCACCCTGTTACCCCTGCTGGGGCTGGTCTCCATGGAAACCCTGGTCCTGCACTGTCACGTCACTGCCGCTGCTGGGGTCTCCATGCAAACCAACCGCAGCAATGCAGGAATCAGCTGCTGGGAAATGGAGTCTGGCTGAATCTGCCATTTTGCCCACCCCTGTTGTAATCCCACGTTCACTCGTTTCTTGTTATGCTGTGGTGGAGGCGAAAAGAATTGTCTTACTTATGTGTTTTAAGATCAGAGAATGCATTCCCTCAACTGGAGGGAAATGGCCATATTTCTTCTATATTTCAGCTCAACGTCAGGATAGGACATCATGGGAAGTGACAAGGATGTGTTCAGATCAGGTAGTTTAACTAGCTGATCTTTATTCTGGGAGTACTCTTTCCACCTCACTGAGAGATGTTTCTCAATGGGGGAGCATATTCCTCAATCACATAAGTGCCTTTTGTCTTTTCTTCCCTGCTCTAGATGTTAAGCTGGTGCTGTGTGGGTTAGCAACTTGTCTTCAGTCAAGTGCTGCCTTCTGCTGTTTCTTTATGCTCACACGGCTGTGAGCAAATGTTGTCCCTAGATCTCTGAGAGTTCATTGCACATAGGGAAAGTAAAATATTAGTTGAGATCATTCTTTGCAGTTGTGGGAGCAAGATTTAGCCCTTTGTTTTCACATGCAGATAGTTACTTTACTGCTGTTTGTCTATAATTCACTGTCCACTTGAGAGAATGCGATTTCCCCCCCACCCCCCGCAGGGCTGCATATAATTAATGACAGATGCTCACAGAAGGCGACAGTCAGACAGACAGAATTTCTAATGATTTTCCATGTTAATTAATAGCTAAAATAGAGACCATATTATGGCTTTGATACTTTCTTAATTATTTTTCTTTTTTAGGTACATTCTTTACTGTCAGTGTTCAGTTCACATGGTTTATTCATTAGATATTTTTCTAACATCACTGCATTTAGGCCAGTGTTTTACATTTCAGTTCATGCTTTTCATGTGAACCTTTTGCTCAGTCTTTTTTGGCTCAGTTCACATTAGTTCACACCCATTGATGGTTGTTGTTCGTGTGCCTTGCAAGTTCTAACAAACTAAAATTCAGATAAACTTCATCAGAAACACTCAAGTAAATTTAATCTCTTGTCAAATTTTAAATCGGCCAAAGTCAGTTCAAAAAAGGCCTGGGTTTGCAAGTTAACCTCGGCTGCAGATGAAACCTAGGATGGGTGAGTGATTCCCACCCCATTCTTGTTTCGCAGCTCAGCTCTTGTTTATTGCTTGTGTATGTTTAGTATTATTTTAAGTACATAAGTTAATAATAATATATTTTAAATCCCCTGCAATATAGATTATATCTCAGTAAACTATTTTCCTTCCACTTTGTCTATTCCCTAAAACTGAGCACCAAATCTTAGTGAGCACTAATTGTTAGCTACCTTAAGTGATTTTAATTATTTCTTTGTAAAGAAAAGTTATCCTATACAGGAACTTTTCAAAATGACCCTTTTTGATCAGTGTAGCTTCCTTGATGTTCTCCCAGCAGCAAGAATGTGGAGGAGTGTGGAAGATGCATCTAGTTCATTGCCATTATATTTGCATGGCATTCTTACCATATATTGATCTGTTGATCTGTGTTTATATATTAATGCCATTATATTTTGAAAAATGAATGGATATTGTCCAGCTTTGTTTGTATTGTATTCTAGATACAGTGGGTGTATCTATATGTGACACTACATTGCTGTCGCAATGTGCTATGGCAATGTAGCATCTATGGGCGCACACACATGCTGTAGCTACGTCGCCATATTGATGTGCTCCCACAATGTAGTGCATTGCTACAGTGACGTAGTAGCTAAAAGTAACTGTGTGCAGTGTGCACGGTGCAGTATGGGCTGTACTGCACCATTATTTAGTACTTCCAGAAGGAAATATTAAATGATAGTGCAGTAACTGCATCACCATAGGGGCACCTGTAGATGCTCCCAGTAGGTTCATCTACATGTGCAATTAATGTAAAGCAATAAACTCTGTAGCAATTTCAGCTGGAGTAAACTACTCCCAGGACAGTGTCTACATGTGGGATTGGAGCAGCAGCAATTTGAGCCAGGGCAGAGCAGGCCCCCGCCTGGCTGGGCTGACCAGGGGCAATTTATACCCCCTAGTGCACATGTGTTTCTGCACAGTTAAGTACTCTGGCAGTACTATCTTACAGCAGAGTTAATTAGTTTACCGGGCCCTAAAACTGGCACATGAGTAGACGGTGACACTTTACTACAGAGCTAGTCTACTCTACAGTAAAGCATATGTATATGTTAAATTTAGTGGGTACATCTACACAAGTATCCCAAGGACATTGCAAAATTAGATGATTATTAGAAAAGAGAGAAGTCATTATACTGGTGAATTTAAATGATAAACTTACTTTTTGGTGTTTCTATCTTTCTGTATGCCATGTTTTTTAAATTGGGTTGAGCCTGTGAATTTAGCATTGGCATTACCAGCCTTGTGGGTATGTATCTCATGGTAGAAAAGAACTATATTCTTTACGCCAAATTCTCATGCTAAGAATAAAGACCATTTTATGCATGCTTGTTTTTATGTAGTGCAGTTATTCCCTTTGTGTTTGATCCTTGTGCTCTCCTGCAATTGGTTTCATTCGTACATCCTAAGACATAAACGTATTTGTTTTCTTGACAGTGAAGAGGAAAAAGAGTTCGAAGTCAGAGGCCAAGGGTACTGTAACTAAAGTAACAGGGAAAAAAATAACGAAGATCATTGGATTAGGAAAGAAAAAACCATCAACAGATGAACAGACCTCATCAGCTGAGGAAGATGTTCCAACATGTGGTAAGAGAGTTGGATCACTTTATCTCGAGCTTTTGCTGCAACTAAAGCTTGATAGTACCCTTCCCTAAGAGTAAGATTGCCCTACTGTAAATTATTCTCATATTAAAGAAAGGTGAACCTAGACTGGAACAGATGCCAAGTAGGGATACTAGGATGATCTGGCAATTTACCATATAAGAGGAGACTAGAAAACCTTGGGTGGTTAAGACTCACAAACCAAAGGCTGAAATATGTTATCAAAGGAGTAAACACCAAGGAGTGAAAAGACTGTTAAATTAAGCCAAAGCCAACACAACAACAGACAAGAATCAGTTGGTCACAGATAGATGTTAGCTTGAAAATTAGAAGGATTTTCTTCACCCTGAGGGCAGTGAGGCTCTGCACTTGCTTTCTAAAAACATATTTACTTGTAAGATGAATCTTGGTTTGTTTATAAAAGGAAATATATGGCATGGAGTATCTGGTATGGAGTCAGATAACTACTCCCCGCTATGTGAGATTTCTCCCAACATGTCATGACTCCCCAAATGTACTCATAGACAAATAATCTCAACTTGTAGTATTTCTATACTTACCTACCTAGTATCGAGCAGTAAACGTTGTCGTAGTATTGTGCATAATTTCAAGCTCAAATGAGTCCTGTGTCTAGGCCTGAATATTTATATTACTAATAGGACTTCCTAGAAGATCCTTTCTGGTCCTATGTTCTTAAACTTGTACACATTGTGCAAAAGTTTGGAGGTTTATAAAATATATTGTAGAACTTCTGCCCCTCCACTTACAGTCCTAATCTCAAGCCTTTCCTTTGGCTCTTGGTACATTGAGATATATTATTAAGGAAATACTATATAAGGTAAACACATAAATTCAGCTGATGCTTACATCACTTTCTCTGCCACTTTGCATTTCTTTTGTTTAGAAGAAGAATTTCTTCTAAATTGCATTTTTTTCTTCCCATATTTAA